CCTAGGTGGCACAGTGCAGATGATGGGATGCTGGAAGCGCTGGAGTCCTGCCAGTGTGCCTGAATTTAGATACAGCTGGATGGTAATGTGCACTGGCGGAAAGAGAGTTTCCGTCTTGTATCTCTACATGTCCTGAACACGAGTCTCTCATCTTTATTTTTATTGTGAATTAATCTGCCTATTTTTCACAATTCATTGATTAATTATTTGTTTAGTCTATAAAATAGAAAATGTATTTTTTTAAAAGACAATCACAAATATAGTCCATAGTGATGTCTTCAAATTAGTTGACCTGAAATAAGACACCCCCATCAATGCAACCCTTTGAATTTAGTTTTTGGGCATTTTTCACTATTTTCGGACAATTACAATACTAAATAATTACCAGATTAATGAAATAAATGATCAAAAGAGTAAGTGGTATTAAAAATAATCGTTAGAGCTGCAGCACTGTCCTCTGGCTGACACCACTGTTTACCTCCTATCTGTATCCCACTGCACTGCTGACTAACTGGAGGCCAATTTTAGAGCTGTCTTTACCGCACACAAACTGTGTGCGGTAAAATAATCAGCTCTTTATTTATTTATTTTTACAATATTGCACCAGCACTTTTCTTGGCATTTACATAGTGATTATTGCCTGCAGGCAACACCTTTCCCTCTCCTATTCCCATGGCTAATACCTATTTATAGGAGTTTCTGATGTTTCGCTTCCCCATCAAACAAGGTAATGATGCCAATACTATAAGCTGCTTTCATTCATCAAGCACACTGGCATCAGCTGAGTGATAAATCCACTCAATAGTGTGTGGGTGGTATGCGCTGCGTTCTCTGGGTGGTCATATTTTGGAAATGCGAAGTCCAATAAAGGTGTATAATTTGGAGGGGCATTTTCATCCAGCCTCTACCAGATGTACACAAAATGTCCTGAGGGAAGCAGCGGGTCCAACACTATTAAATTATATTTACAGGCATTGTCTTCATATTCCCTTTGGCAGGTTGGTCAAATTTAATGAATTCCCTTTGGATCTGCTTGCAAATAAACCTCAGTTCTTCCAGAAAATGTTCCTGTTTGGCAGAAGCTTCACTTTATTTTACTTGAGCGCAGGAGGAAGTCAAAGTCTCTGCCACGATGAATTTGGTGCTTGTAAGACAACACACTCATTGCTTTGCTGGAGGATTTCCTCAGGAGATCAGCGTGGGTTTCACTGTACACAACGCGACCAGCTTATGGATCAGAGAGACCCACTGAGAGGAGTGAGTGACAGAGGGCAGCAGGGAAGAAAGAAAGGAGTGAATGAGTGTTCTGGCTTCTTGACCTCTTAGCGTAAGAAGTCTTCTGAGTTCAAACTCCAGTGATTACAAGCTGAGCTGGTATTTAAAGTGGCCCTACTCCCCCCCCCCCCCTTGCCTCCCCTCCTCTTCTTCTCCTTCCCCCCCATTCACTGCAGACTCGTGTGAGCTGTGTGTGACAATGTCTATGACTCGAATATAAGAGTACATACTACATGAACCTGTGTGTCTGTGTATGTGTGTGTGTGTGTGTGTGTGTGTGTGTGTGTGTGTGTGTGTGTGT